AGGACAACTTTCAGCTAGCCAATCAGACTGCAGGATTCAACTTGTCAATTGGTGTAAAGGATTCAAGCAGCCAATCATAGCGCAGGATTAAGATAGCCAATTGGACTGCAGGAGCCAGTCAGAGTGCAAGATTCAGGCAGCCAATCAGAGTGCAGGATTAGGCTAGCCAATCAGAGCTGAGGCCAGCATTTCAGTAACATGCCCTCCCTTGTTGGCATTTCCCCCTTGTGGAAATAACTGACACCTGATGAGCTCAAGTGAAGTTTGTCAGATGGCACCTGGGAGAAATGAGGGACTGTGTGAACATTAATGTAGACTTCAGTAGAAGAACTTACCCAGAAATCATTGCAATCTGGCCTAATTCCCTTTTCAAACGTGAAGAAAATGGAGAACAATGGCAGACAAATAAAATACTCTACATTACTGAATACAAAGCCAATTCCAAAAAAGTTGGGAGGTGAAACACAGATAAAAACAGAAAAGTGATTTATAAATCTACTTTGACCTGCATTTGAACAATAACAGTACAAAGACAAGACACATACTTTTTCACTTTCTCAACTTCATTGTTTTTCGTAAATAAACGCTCATCCTGAAAACATGTAATCCAATAAAGTTGGGACAGGAACATTCAGCAAAAAATACATTAGGTTAAAAATAAAGTTGCAAGCAATTGCAAGGATTTTAGGTATTTTACCCTCTATAGTTTATATGATCAGCAGATCCAGGAAATCTAGAGAAATCTCTGTGCGTAAAGGGCAAGGCCGAAAACCACAACTAAATGACTGTGACCTTTGATCACCGCATGGGCTCGGGAATGATTTTACAAACCATCACCAATAAACACGCCCATCGCTGCACAAATGCAAGTTAAAACTGTACTATGCACAGCGGAAGTCACGTGTCGGCAACGTCCAGAAACACTGCCGACTTCTCTGGGCTCAAGATCATCTAAAATCGTCAACCGGTCAGAATATTTATGTAAGTAATGGACACTGTGTTCTCCAGGCCAAAGAGGAAAAGAACCATCCAGATTGTTACCAGCATATGAGTTTGACCTGTGCAAAATACAACAGTGAAGAACCTGTACGGTTACACACCTGAAGACTTGTATAAAAAAAAGAATGGCAAAATTTATGCTTTCAAAAGTGGATTAGTTTGTGACTTCAGTCCCTAAATGATTATTAAGAGTTGTTAAAATGAAAGGTGATGTAACACAATGGTAAACATGCTCCTGTCACAACAATTTTGGAACATGGTTCCAGGCATCAAATTTGGAATGAGCGTATCGCTGTTGTCGGAAGAAAACCTTCTAACTCCATTTTGTCATTTTTGTCATTTTTTTTACATAATTTGAAAATGCCTGTTGTTCTTTACAGTGTCTGAAAATTTCATGATGAATAGACTAAAAGAAATGACCCAAAAAGTCTGGTTCCATTGACTTACATTAAAAGTAAAATAGATGTTTTCCTTTTTCTGACAACAGTGACATATTTACAAAAACAATGAAGTTCTTGAGGTAAAACATAAAATATTGTGTTTTTGTTCCATTTTCAACTGAATACAGGCCAAACAGACTTTACTAATCGCTGCTTCTGTTTTCATTCGCATTTCACATACTGTCCCAACTTTTTTGGACCTGGGTTTGGATTTAAAAACTATACCATTCAAATTTAAAGCTTCATATGATAAAAGTGATATTGTGCAATCTCGAGGTGTAGAGAATCCAAATTATGGCCAATTTCTACAAGTAACGATAAAAACAACTGCAATAGCAGATCCTTCTCAGCTCTTAGGGTAAATGTTCATATTGCTATTGACTGGAAACAATGATAAAAAGGTTCAATACATGAGGATTTATTAAATAAACATGGCTGTATCAAAACAAATTACGCAAGTCTCAATCCAAAAAGAAACTGATATGAACCCCTGCAAATTAAATCTTGTTTTAACAAAGCAAATATCATAATTCAGCCTTGAGCACACATTCACAACAAAGAAACACGTTTGAGTTAACCAATGAGTTGAAACGTACATAATTACATCATATTGGCATGTAATATCCTGTATGTGATAATGCACTTCACTGTTCCGTGTATGAATGCGAGATGTAAACACTGGACGTTAATATGTAGGCTAATGTGTAAGGCATTGAGTCTTTGGGTCTGCGCACGTAACGTAGCTGAGATCACTGACTTGCACCAGGCGGTAAAGGCTTCCGTTTCCTACACAATTCTACTGATCTGTCCGCTGATAAGGGGAGCTTAGGGTCGCGCAGGTCCACGTTGATTTGAGATGTTGTTTGAACTCATAACTTAAAGCCGGTACGCTTGTCGAGCTGCTTTTTAAACGTCCTGCCTTTCATAAAATGTGCAAAAGTAAACTGAGTGAGCAAACAAATGTATTTGCCAAGCATACATTTCCATACATTTCACTTCTCCATATTTAGACCTGATGGTTGATATGAATATCCACATGTATTGGAGATTAGTACATATATATTGAAACTGGTTATGGACTGTTTGCACCTGTTGTATCCCTATATCAGAGGAGCATATGGCAGTATTATGGCCTTTTTGCAGCCTGGGCTGAAGTGTTAGGACCCCAGCCTGTATAAAAGGGTAAAATACGGAAAATATATTACCATATACTCTATTTTGGAATACACCAACAAAATATAACAACCTTTTTTAATGTTTATGGGGCAGCCGCTGGATATAACCCTTATGTGTTGAGCTGAGACCAGCCCTCACTTTCAATACTTTTTTTAACATGCCCTTGCCGATTCCACTTGTGAGAATGCCCTACTCTGCCTTCACCACCTTTTCATTACTGTATTAGCTCAAGTGAAATTTGTAATATGGAGGTGTTGAGGGATCTAATCAGCATAAATGTAAACTTCAGTATCAATACTCAGACAAAATTTATGAAGATCTTTTCCACTGTAGAGCCATATGGTTCCCAAGGCTGTACTTCAATCCGCTGTCCAAATTATGACTGAGAAATGCAGAAGCAAAACTACGCAAGACAGTGGCTCAGCAACAGCTAGCAGGCCAACAGCTACACTTGCCACAGAACAAGTTGGATTCCATCTACACCTGACCTACAGCTACAGTCGATCCTGTACTGTGGGTTATGGAACGGTTTGGATCTGTAGCCCACTGGCTAAGCTACCTAGGACTGCTGCTGACTAGGAAAGAGGAGCCGCCTAGCATTAGCCTAGCCTAGAAACAGCACTCTTTAACATTTAATCTGATTTCACACTGACTGAACTATGGATTAAAATTGCAGACTGCTTTCATTTATTTCCCGATTGTGTACGTGAACTGATCTTATTTGGTTGTTTTTGGTTTTGCAGGATGTGGTGGCACAATACTAAGGTAGAACATAGAACCAATAGCTAGTAAGTCACACCAACGAGGGGTTCTGCAGCCTTGAGCATGGTTAGCTCACCTTGTTGAGCAAACAATGCTGAGCATGGTTTGTAAGCCTTCCGAGAGGAACCGTATCTGTGTGGAAATGCTATTGATACAGTTACTCCCCGTGTTCAGAACCGTTCGGCTATACAGTGGAAAAGAGGCCCTTGTGATCTGACACAAATTCCCTTTTCTAGCCTGAAAAATGGCAGGAAAAGCCAGAGCAATAAATACTTCAAAATATTTAGCATTGTGCAGCACTAGCCAACACAGGCGTCTGGTGGCTGATGTAACAGAATTAGCAGTTAGCATTCTCCTCTAAACATGTTGAGCTGTCCGGTGACATTATGTTAGCGGCAGTTTGAAAAGATTCCCATGTCTCAGAGGCCTTCACCCTCCTAGCTTGGTAGCACTGTGTGATAGAGGGAGACTTAGCATGTTCAAAGTACGCTCTATATAGCAAACTCAGGTCTCCTAGTCTGTCAGGTTGCTAGTTAGCAAGCTAAGGGCCTCACAGCTGGAACCAACAAAAAAGAAGAAGGAAGGGGACGGTGTAGGGACAGTAAAAAAAAAAGATAAAAGTACTTAATATTTTAAAAAATATGACATTCATTTAGTTGTGTTCAAACTAGGATTTATGTAGCAAACATAACTGTTCAGCTACTCTGCTAGCTGGACAGTTAGCAAGCTAAGGGCTTCATAGCTAGAACAACAAAAAAAGGCTGTTCTCATCCGAAACTGTTGGCCAAACAAAGCAGTTTTTCGAAAAAGTTAATGTATGTCTCAAGCTTCTCAAAAATGTTTGCCAACTACAAAATTAGCTAGCCTAGCCGAGAGAGTGCACTCCTACTGAAAAATCCGCTCCTGGTTGTCCCCTCACCCTCCATGTGACCACAAAGTCGCAGGTGCTACACAATACGGCGAAGGCATGTTAACATTAAAAACATTATTGAGACGGAGGCAGTTTTTCCTTCCTCAATGACTGCCAAACTGGGTGGAGAATGAGCCAGATGCTTGGAAATAAGCATCAGATTCTTATCAGAGTCATACAGACACCAGCGGTTACAGACAAAAGCTATGAGATACTAAATTTACTGTACTGTGTTAAAATGTCAAAGACCACCCTTCATTTATCTAATTTCTAGGAAAAAATATAACCGAGAGAAATTAAAATTTAACAGATAAATCACACAGAAGCCTCAACAACTAAATATAAATATACAACCCCATTTCCAAAAAAGCTGGGACGCTGTGTAGAATGTAAATATAAATAGGATGCAATGATATGCAAAGCATGTAAACCATATTTTTAAAGAAAAATACTACAAAGACAACGGAGATATTTTACTGTTTTTTGAAAAATATATCCCCTTTTTGAGTTTGATGCCAACAACATATGCAGTGATTTCCACTATAGAATCATGTCTGTTTTTAATGCAGTGCCGTCTGAGGGCCCAAAGATCACGGCCAGCAAATAGTGGTTTTCGGCCTTGTCCCTTACATACAGAGATTTCTCCAGATTCTCTGAATCTTTTAATGATATTATCTACTGTAGATGATAAAAAACAAAAGTTCTTTGCTGTTTTATGTTGAGAAACGTTGTTCTTGAATTGTTGCACTATTTGATCATGCAGTCTTTCACAGAGTGGTGAACCCCTCCTCATCTGTACTTCTGAAAGACTGAAAGATTTTATAACCAGTCATGTTGCTGACCAATCAACCACCAGGTGATTTTTTAGCATTACACAGCTTTACCAGCCTGTTGGCATCAAATTCAAAATGGGCAAATATTTAAAAAAAAAATACAATTTCTCAGTGTTAATATTTGATATGTTGTGTTTGTACTATTTTCAATGAAATATAGGGTTTAAATGAATTGCACATCATTGCATTTTGTTTTTATTTACATTTTGCACAGCGTCCCAACTTTTTCAGAAATGGGGTTGTAAAAAGTTTTCAGTATTTAGTGCTCTTTCTTCATTACTGCTTCCATTCTTTTCAGCAGACTCAGGCTATTTTTCCACACCTCCAAAGTTCAGTCTTAGAAGTTGGTTGTATTTTCTTCTTCTCTCAATACAATTAATCCCAAACACATTCAGTGATGTTGAGGTCTGGACTCTGGGGTGGTCAGTCCGTTGTTCAGAGAACACCAGTAGCTTCTTTGTCTGATCTGATGGTGAAAGTTCTGGTGGTCTGTTAGGTCTTAGGTCCCATTTACTCTGTAGCTTTTAATCATTTCTTCAACTCTAGCTTTGGAAAATGGTCAAGAAGATAAATAAATGAAGGGTGGTCTCTGACTTTTGCATTGTACTGCACTGTGTTAGGACATGAAGGTGTGCTGGCGCTATCTATCTGTACTGAAAGTTACAAGAAAAGGATATTTTATAGCTTTTTTGGCCCAGAAAGTTTCAAGTTTGACTGATAAAGATGAAAACGTAAAAATACTGAACGGTAATGCGGATATTCAGGTCAGCACAGCTGAAAGCATTGCACACTTAGGAGCTGGACCTTGAAAGCTGTTGGTGTAGCAAATGAATGTTGGTCTATAGAGAATGAGAGAAAGGTGAGAAGACAGAAGTGAATAAAAATGGGCGGTTTCAGCAGCCTATATGAGTGCAACGTACAAGTGCAACAAATAATAACAATAAAAAAAGAATATTTTTAACCCTTTTATAACCGAAGCCTTCCGCAAAGGCAGATATATCACTTTAACACTCAGACCCTAATTTTTAATATTTGACGCAAAGTAAAAGTGCAAAAAAAGTCTTCAGGATTCGTTTCCTAGTGCAAAGGGACAACTTCCGTTTCTGTAACGCCTGTGCTTTTGTGCTTAACAGTAAAGGCCATTTTGAGGAGGTATTAAAATTCCCAATGCACCAAAAAAAGCTTCAATACAAACGACGGTGCTAACGACTGGCTCTACTTTGGCCGAGCTACAATGTGACAATACTTCAAATTGTGCCCAAAGACACGAACCGATAAGGCAACATTCGGTCCACTCCCACGGAGCTTTTGGAAGTTGACCAACACCAATTACGCTTGTGACAACCAGCAGAACAACGCAGCCAGAGCAACTTCTGGATCTCTGGATGATGCTGACTGTGGTCGTCTTTGCGTGTGTGCAAAACTGTAGCGTCTCTGTTAGTTTCTTTAGCTCTTGCTGCAGCTCCTGTCGGGCCCGGCTGGTTCTGTAGTGCTCCTCTGCCGACTGCAGCGTTCTGAGACTGAGGGAGAGCTTTTGAGTCAGACTGAAGGAACTGTCCCGTCCTGGACTTCACCGGACTCCAACAGAGGAAATCATCACAAAATACTGCAGTGGAGTTTAGGAGAGGCGGCGGCTCGATCTCCACGCCACTTCATCTTCTTCTTCTTCTTCAAACTCCTCTCTGGAACCTGCTGCCTGTGGGAGAAGATAAGAAGAAAAAAATCAGAAGGAGGAAAAGAAAGAAACGTACAAAAATATAGAAAAAAACACAAGGGGGGAAGAAGAGAAACAATAAGAGAGGGAAACATAAAGGATGACAAACAAAATCAGGAAGAGAAAAAGAGTGAAATATAAAGGAGAAAAGAAAAAGAAAATGAGGAGGAGAAAAGGAGTAATGGGGAGAAAAATGCAGGAGAGAAAAGAAGAAATAAAGAAAAATGCAGGAGGAGAAAAGGAGAAACAGGGAAAAACAAAGGAGCAGAAAAGAAAGAAAAATGCAGAAAAAGAAAAGGAGAGAAAATACAGAAGAAGAAAAGGAGAAATTGAGACAGTACAGGAGAAGAAAAGGAGAAATTGCAAGAAAATACAGGAGAAGAAAAGGAGAAATTGAGAGAAAATACAGGAGACGAAAAGGAAAAAATGAGAGAAAATACAGGAGACGAGAAGGAAAAAATGAGAGAAAATAAAGACGAAACTGAGAGAAAATAGAGGAGAAGAAAATGAGAAATTGAGAGAGAATACAGAGGGATAAATTGAGATAAAACAGAGGAGAAGAAAATGAGATGGAGAGAAAATATAGGAGAAGAAAATGAGCAATTGCGAGAACATACAGAAGGAGAAACTGAGAGAAAGTACAGGAGAAGAAAAGGAAAAATGAGAAAATGCAGGAGGAGAAAAGAAGAAATAAAAATAAAATTCAGGAGAAAACGAGAAAGAGAAAAGCACAGGAGGAGAAGAGGAACAAGATAAAAGGGACTGAGAGATAAGTGAGTGAGAGAGGCTGAGAGAGGAAATGGTAACAGTGAGATAAGCAGCTTTCCCTTTCAGTCCTTAAAGAGCTCCTACAGTGGTTAAACACTCTACACAGGATGTGACTTCAGTTCCTACTGCACTCTGCATTCCACACAACTGACGATGTGGGTTCAGTCAGGAAATAACTTCTTATCAAACTATCCATTATTTCAAACCTTCACTGTCAAAACCCTCTAATGCAATGTTTTCATGAAAACAGCAGCTGGACAAACAGAAACAGTCCAAAATGACTCATAATAAAATCCTGTAACATTAACATTAGTAACGTTAAATTCAGTCATTACATATGCAAGAGTTTGGGCGCGTCTAGTCAAACTACGTTTTGCTGAATATAACACACACAGAACATATTTATGCTCTAAGCACACTGCATACTGCTTATTCGCTGCATATTTTATATTTGAAATTTTGTATGTGCACTTAATTTAGCAGAAAAATGCGTGTTCCCTGTAGAGCAGGGGTTCTTAACCTGCTTGGTGGACTGTAACGCCACAAATCTGCGAACCTCTGAAGTGCCAGCCAATAAAAAACTAAAGTCTGAGTTGTGGCGTCTTCTTTCTGAAAAAAATACTAAACAGAGAAATGTTCCTCAGCCAATATACAATCCCATGTAAAAAATAAAATGGGCCAAGCCCAATATAATGCTTTTTACAGACAGTACTGACCTGGTCAGAGTCCAGATTTAAACCCTATAGAGCATATTTGGCCTCACATGGAACACAAACTGGCTCAGCAATGGAGCCGTCAATGCTGAGTGGATCAATACTGACTCTTCTTTCTGTAAAAGACTGTCTGCAGATTTACACACAAAACGTCAACATTTAAAGCTATTGCATACTAAGTTCCTTTATCTATTTGTTTAATCCTTGCTAATTTACTGAGTAAAAAAATTAAAGGTTAAATTTTTGCCAAAATGTTTTGAAATATTATTTTAACCCTAGGAAAGCGGTGCACTCCGGAAAAGGTTAAGAACCCCTGCTGTAGAGGACGTGTTAACTAGTTTTTAACTTCATTCGACGGTGTTCAAACTTTTGCATACGACTCTATATATGTTACACGTTACAGTATATATTGCACCTAACATGCAAGTCATGATACAACAATATGGTACGATATGATACGACACATCATACTGTCCCATATTGTATCACAGCCTGTGGCTAGTGTGTTAGCTTGGGTTAACATATTAACTAGAGCATAAATTAGGACTCGAATTTAAACTTTTGTTTCAAATATTGTACTTTTACAGTACTGAGTTTGTTAATTAACCGTACATAAAAACATGAACATATCAGTGTAAGGCACAAGATTAGATGTTAGCATTTATAATGTTTAACATAGGAGTATTCCGAATTTAACATTTTTACTACAACCTTAACATGCATTAAAAATTAAGAACGTTTTTTTGATCTCCTAAAATTCAAGTCATATACAAGTCCAAAGTGGCCAAATTGACTGATCAGCCACCTTACTTGCTAGCTAGTAGCTAACACTGGCTGTCCTGTGAAATCAGTAGTGTGCACAGTTACACAGAATCATGTGTAGAGCTGATCAAAGCTACATGTTTCTCACTAGAGTGAACATACATGCAAAAAACGTTAGAATTAGCTACACAGCTAACAAGTAAACATTACTCTGTGACGTCCTTTGAACATGTTAGAGCACCAAGTTAGAAGTTAGAACTGTTCTGTGTTTTTGGAAGTCCCATCATGTTCAATGTACATATTTAATGCCTTCTTTTATTTACATTTATTTGCCTAAACCCAACAAACCCAATTTACATTCTGTTTGTGTAATATGACTGTGAAATCTACCAGCTGTGGAAAAAGACTACACTTAGCTTAAATTTAAACTGCGATCATCCCAAAAAACTGTGATTATCTTGAAAAGTTACAGTTGGGCGATCATGTAATAATTGTGACAGTAACATTGTGACAATGTAATTATCATGACAGGCCTATATGCAGGGTTTTATTACAACAGTGACACAGTGTGCCTGTCCTGTAAGCCAGAGATGTGATGTGTAATAGGAATACAGTAATAACAGTATTGGTTATATATTTATGGATGGTTTAATCATTTTACATACCTAATCACCCTGACCAGCTCATGAAAGGCTTTGTCCACATTCATCGGAGGGTCCTTGGCACTTGTCTCTATGTAAGTAATCTGTTTTGTGAATGAAAAAAAAAAAAATCATGTATGCAGGGCTCAAACTTTGTGACTCACAAAATCTTTAAATAGGACACCCCAAAATACCACAGCTTTGATTGGCTCATCACATGGCTAGAGCTGGCTTTAATCACAGCCTGTTTCTAGGGGTGAGTCAACACTAGAGCCCGCAACCCACCAAACAAACACAAACACACAGACACACAGGTTTTTATACAATGTCAGGACATGGTGTCACAAATGTCCCACATGTATTACATACATGTGAATATCTACAGTAATGGGTGTCACCAGAGGCCACCCTTCATTTAATTAATTTTCAGTCAAGTAATTTTTTGGCATCAGGAAAAAAAACATTTAACAAAAAATCAGATTTTTCTCAGTAACTTTTTATTGTTATTACAGCTTCCACTTTATTCAGAAGACCAGCTTTCAGTTTTTCAAGTAAACTGGATTAAATTTACATGAGGTCCTGTGGTAATTTCCTCATTTACAGAAGCTCCCCTGTGATTTTATTTCTGTCCGGATCGGCCATGTCGGTGTTTTTCTCCCTCCTCTCCTGAGAAAATTACAGGCTGAGTTTCCTGCTGCTTTTTCACCAAACTCAGCGGTTGTCTGATAAATTTAGCCCCGTCTGGATACAAATCTGTGTGATTTCGGTGTATTTTCCAGACAGAATTATTTTTGACCACTGTTACTCACCGTATTTACTCTTCTAGCACGCCTGTCCGTGTTAAACATTTTCCAAATCGCAAAACAGTGGATGTTTTGGAAGTCAACCATTTACTTGATCTGGGGAGTAGAACTCTACACTGGTGAGAAACAGCAGGAGGAGAAATAAACAAAAAAAAAGTCCATCACAGAAGCGAGATCCCTCAGGGTGATTAAAGGAGCAATTATAATGACAGCGACATGTTTATATACAGTACTTTATATTCTCGTGACCCAAACATCCAGGTTTGCATTCAAGCATCCCATGGTCATTTTATTGCCGTTCGGACGCACGAGTTATCACTGTGGCTACATTCACATTACAAGCCTCATTGCTCAAATCTGATTTTTGCTCAAATCCGATCTCTCTGACACGATTGTTCACACTCGTTTAAGTAAGTGACTCTTCATTAATCTGTCATTAATGTGAACGAACCGGCGTCCTGAAATGACCCTCATGAGCTCATCCTACTCAGTAACGTCACGTGAATGAATCACGTTCATCATCAGCACAAACTAACGGTCAGAACGAGCTTCGCTGAGAAGATAATTAACTCTGATCAGCTCTCAGCTTCATTATTAGAGCGAGACGAAGGAGAAAAAGGTGAGATGTGTTTCTTTTCCACTGTTTATAGGCTTTAACTTCTGTTCGGCGCTGTTGCCATGGTAACGCTGAATGATGGCGAACGCGCAGTGGAAAAACAGCACATGAATTCCGATCTGAGCATCACATTAAGGTCGCATGGCCACAAATCAGATACGTATCCGATCTACGACCACATATGAAAGTGGCTCAGGTCTGATTTAAAAAGATCAGATTTGTGTCCACACAGCCCTGAAAACATCAGATCTGAGTCACATTAGGGCAAAAAATCGGATTTGTGCCACTTCAACCTGGTGATGTGAACGTAACCTGAGAAAAGAGGTACTTTTTTTTTTTTTACTATTTTTTTTACAGATCACTCTGATAAACGAATCCAATCTGAATTGGGTTTTTAGAAGTTGGTTGCATTTCTGCTTCTCACGATCCAAATAATCCCAAACACATTCAGTGAACTTGATTTTCTCCTCTCTCTCAAAGATGAAAGCTTTAAGTGCTGTTTCACTGATGGGGACAGTTTTGGTGTCTACCAGGTCTTCCAGGTGGTTGTTAGGAGTCTCATTTTCCATTTAATCATTTTATGAACTCCAGTTTTGGATACTCCTGTTTTGGAAACTCCTGTTTTATTCAATTATTTTCCTTTCACATTCTCTTTCCTTATGTAAGAGGATATCTTAAAAGTAATCTCCTTAGAAATATCTCTTGGAAAATGAACAACTTGTACTTAATGGCCACTTTGATTGGAAATCTAAAAAAAATTAAGGGTGGTCTCTGACTTTTGCACACTACTGTAAGTAAATATATATTATAATAATAATAATATTCCCCATACTTATTATATGTACAGTACAGTGTAAACGTCTTAGGCACTTAAGCACATTTTTTAAAGCCATTTATCCTGGCAATAAGTGTGTTTTTGCTTTTAAAAATACCACATATACCTAAAATCACTTGTTTTATCAACATTATATCTATTTATTGTTATATTAGAATTTATCTGCGCAAATAAATGCTTACTGCCCAGATACACAGCTTTTTAAATCTTTACTTTTGCACAGTGTTGTATGTACATAACCCTAGGAACCAATAAGAAATGGTTCTGCATTTACAGTGTTCAATAAATGCAACACAAACTCTTTTTTGGGCCTTTATATCAGCCCTGTTTTTGTCCTAGTCAGGATATTTCTGTCCAGAAACTGTACAAAAACAAACACGCACACCAAAATAACACATGGTCTCAATGGCTGCCAATCCCACTGGTGTCCGGCCTCGGAGAGAAAGCTGTTCAGTCTCTCCAGACAGACGTCTTCCTGTGCTGGTTTCACATTTGCCAAAGAAGGGAGCCTGGATTTTGGGCTTGTTCATCACTTTCTAATTAAAGACGGTGCTGAGAGTCGACAGAAGCTTCAGCATCTGAGTTGTGGGTGAGGCTGCTGTTTTAAGCGAAGCCAAAGTGTTAAAAAAAAAAAACCCTCATGAAACCTGCAGGGAGTCTTGACGTTAATGTCTCTGCATACTAATGAGAGAGCGATGCTATATTTTCACCTAAGACTTTACACCTGCTGTTAAACACGTCTAGGTTTATTTGAGTCATTTCATTGTCACAGCAATAAAAAATACAACAGCAGTGATGAAATATTCTAAGCTCACACAAATTCAGACCCACAAAAGAGGGACAGAAGGATAGAAACCAGATGTCTGAAGAGTTAATAGCTTATAGAAAGCTATTACACAAAATGCTAACAAATACACGTCTGAGATATTATTTTATGATCATTTAGAAATAAGATCATAAGGTAAAATATATTTTTACCTTTTTTTTGCGTTGTAGACCATGTGACCCATGGTTCCTATCACCACTAATGTAAATAAATCTGAGTTGCTAAGTTCGAAGTAGTTCAGCTGTTAAGTTGGAACGGCGCACTTCACATCACAACCACTCTGAATGACTTTGTTTACATCCCAAAGACTGAATTATGTTGTAATTTTGAAAAAATTCCCTTCAAATGTTTTCCATTTCATAAGTCGCCCAGGTTTTCAGAGCCAAAAAAGACCAGTGGGAATTGCATGCATGTCTATCTGACTGGAAGACTCACACTGTGTTTGGCAGCCATCTCGCAACCCTGGTCACTCGTGACCTTCCTCAAATGCACCAAGTCCACTTTGTTTGCCACCAGGATCATGGGGAAGGATTCTCTGTTGGAAAGCAAACAAGACAGAATGGAATGAAAACAAGCACAGGAATGATTATAATATCATAATAATATCAGTGAAAAATATATCGGCTGCAGATACATCACAGCAGCGAGGCTCTCACCGATCTTTCACCCTGAGGATGAGCTGATGAAAGCGGTCCACGTGGTCAAAGCTGGCCTTATCCGTGACGGAGAACACGATGAGGAAGCCGTCGCCTGTCCTCATGTACTGCTCTCGCATGGCACTGAACTCCTCCTGTCCCGCTGTGTCCAGCACTGGAACAACATTGGATCAGGGTTTAGAAACAAAAAATATAAGGTTATATAACCAAATATTAAACTGAGTTCCACTACTACTAATTGCATGGGTGGTTCACCAACTGCAGATTATTAGTGACCCAGCACTTTATCTAACACAATGTAGCGTACACGCTCAGCATCAAGGGGTCATTTACGGGGGCAATACCCCACCAATCAATCATCCTGCAAAATAAACTTGTTGCCTGCTACTGCACTGCTCGTGGTGCGCACAAGGCTAGAAAACTATATTAATTAACATAGTGGTCAAGTCATGTGGTCTTTATGGTCTTTCTTTAATATGCATCACTATGCACTGGCCGCATTTTTGGCACATGCTGCATGTTGTGGGAAAATAAATTAGCAGACAGATTTCTTAACCCTTGTGTGGTGTTGATGTGTTTGTTACTCAGTGGGTCTGATGGACTGACCACATTATTGTTTTAAATCATAACCATAACAATTTATGTAACAATACCAGATGTTTAAAGTATCACAAGTGGCCAGCGTAGGGTTTTCCTTTAGCAGCTGTAGCCAGTCAGTAGCCTGTCCATGTTGTCCACCCTCACACACACACACACACACACACACACACACACACACACACACACACACACACAGACACAGACATACTAACAGCAGGCCATGTAGGAGGAGAACAGAGTGAAGGACACAGCACCTCCACACTTTTACTCCCCGCAGGTTCACCCCAACACCACATGTGTAATATAAATGTGTGGGGGGTGAACAGAGTGAAGACACTGAAAATGGATTATTTTATATGTTCTTCATATAATGAGCAAAGCCCAAGAATCTGAGGTTGAAATAGTAATAAATCGCATATTTTTTCTTTTGGTAAACATTCTAAATGGGTCCCCCAGACCTGAACACCACACAAGGGTTAAAAAAGCTTCTACTGCATGACTGCAAAATAGATTTCGTTGCATACCGACATTTTGTTTGTCTATGTTTATCTGAAATACTAACAACGTAGAGGGTGGCATGATGTAACAATTACTTTGAAACTTGAACTTTTTTGAAATAAAAAATCACTGATCTGTTTAATGAGAGAAGGGATAAAGCACAACTGAAGGGTGACTCTATTCTATTCACGTGTTTTCTTAATCATAAATGTAGTTTGTGACATAAACTAAATAAACATCAGCTTTGCTGGATCAGATTTTCAAATAACCAATTAAATAAACGCTACACCATCACTGAGAAATTGAGTTATTAACAGAAAAAAGTTGATAAAACAGCAGAAATAGTTAGTTCCTTGTATCTGGCTTAAAGTTTAACAGAGTCCTTTTAATGCATTGTTTCTCTTTGATCCGTTTTCTTGTTTAGAGTGTCTGTATATTATACATTACATCATGCATACAACATTATTTATATGTAGAGAAGATTTCTGGGACATACAGGTGATTCAAAAAGATTCACCCGATTTCAAAGCGCCATATTTTTACAACCGTGAGGCGCCTAGGAACCAATCACATACCAATTGAAAAAGGGGGCTCATAGAGTTTCTGACTGTCACCGGAAGATGGTTCCCTTCAGTCTGCAAGGGGATGAGACCCCTGAGCAGAAAGCGTTCTGCATTCTCCACTTTAATAAGAGTGAATCCATCAGAACTGTGCAGCGTGATTTTCGTGGGCAGTGAAGCTCCAACAGCTCAGAGCGTTCGTCGTTGGTTCCACAACACTGGATGATCTCCGAAATCGCACTGAAAGAGCCGGGAGTGCAGCGACAACCCGACATGCTCAATCCAATATGGGATGAATCTGACTATGGTGTTGATGTCGTCTGTACAGCTGGAGGAGGTTCATATTGAGCACTTGTACAATTAAATAACAAACTTTATGCTCATTTAAACCATTTACAGTTTACTGCATTGTTCTGTAATGATTTACAAGGGAAATAAATCATTTTGAAATCGGACGAATCTTTTTGAATCACCCTGTACATAATGCTCAGTCCAACACTAAAATGAACTGATAACTTCATAATGCGCACATGTAGAATGAAATTTACAGTGCTATCGAAATGCTTAGTGATTTGTTTCATCACAGCAACAATAAAAGGTGACTCAAGTGTTAAAATACATTCAAATTTATATGTTTACTTTCACCCAAAGTAAAGATTTAGAGAAATCAACTTATAACTGTTGAAGAGAAGAAGCCTCTTTTTTTGCCACAGCATTAAAAGATTAATGTACTATTAATACCTGCCATTATGCAGATATCTGCACTAAAAATGAGGACTAAATATAGAGAAAAAGATCATTAATATGACACTACCATCCAAAATAGCCCACTGTCCATCGATCTCCGTGTGCTTCAGGTAGGAGTCCTCAATGGTCGGATCGTAATCAGGCACGAAAATCTTCTGGAAAAACTGGATGGTGAGAGCGCTCTTGCCCACGCCACCGTCCCCCACCACCACCAGCTTGTATGTGGGGAGATTGTCGCTAGGGACCGCGCTGGTCGCCATGACAACAGCTATACCTGCAAAACAGGGAAGGAGAACTTGTTGGTAACCTGCTGCTGCTGCTGACTGCTTCCTCCAGCATCTGAAAAGCAGGAGGTCATATGTGAACCAGGCTCAGCATGAAGACTGAAGCGTCTAAGGTTTAAATGAGGGAAAGCTATGCGCTTTCTGAGGAGACGCTGAGGTTTGAGTGTGATATTCTACTTGAGCAAAGGCTAAAACGAGCCAAACAACCACAGAGGAAGTGTGGTCTTTTCTAGACTCTCACACTGAGGTTCACTTTAATTATGTCGGTTTCCTGCAAGGCACCAGATGTGGAATAGACACCGTTTTTTCAACCATCGTAGATTTTCTCCAGCATTTATTTTGTTGAAAATGTCATGAAATGAAAACTGGTACATTCAGAGCCAAAAGCTGAAGACACCAGATATCTACGATGCTCATTATCTGTCTAGAAGTCTTATATATATGCATGTACACACACACACACACACACATACACACACATATATATATATATATATATATATACACAAAGAGAGATATAGTTGTGCTGTGAGAACGAGAATGATAGATGTAAATTACACATGAGAATTACAGTCACATGAAAAAGTTTGGCCACTCCTGATCAAATTACATGTTTTGTTAAATTCTATTTGAAAATAAATGACCACATCCTCTACAGAGAACACATTTCTGCACTTTTCATTCCACAATTACTGTTTATTTGCTGAATATAACATACTGGAAGACTAAAACATGAAATGTGGCCTGTGCAAAAGTAAAGGAAAAATACTACATATTTGAAAAAACAAAACAAAACAAAAATATTATGAGATGCATATGCTTTCCTTTTGTGCAACTTAAAGTGGTTTCTGAGACATAAATCGTCCAACTTGATAGCCAACATTATATATGTACACTATCAGTAATTCCTGATACTATCCATCAGCTCAAGCTTAGTTAATGCATTAAATTATTAACATCATTGGTTTATGAAATGTTGATAATGCATTTTCCTAATTTGACCCTTCAAACCGTCCATAGTAGCCCAGGCTGAAGCTCAGCTGCAGCGCACTGTACATTACTATGACAGAATTCTGGCATCGCATCCGATTCAAAATTCGCAATTCAAAGCCGTTCTTGGGGAAAATCAGCCCAACACTCGACTCTTTCTGCTCGCTATTAAGCTTCTGCTACAGTTGAACAGCACTTTCTAAAAAATATAACATGATCTCCACCTCACCGCGACCCAGAAGGATAAGCGGTTTAGTTGATGTACTTTATGTATGTATGATCTCTACCTTTAAAATTACCATGATGTTTTGTATGAAACCTTTCTTGTCTGAGGCTGTGCAGAACCACAAAACAAAGGGTTAAACCATGTTGGGCTGGTCAAACTCACATTAACCTGATAGAGGACAAGTTCCCAAAACAATATGACTTGGTTTCAGACTGAGAGTGATTAATCATGATTACTGAACATTCACAAAGACAGAAATCAGTGATTGTAGGCCATGTTTCGGCTATTGTCTTCTAGGGTGAAAGTCCTGTTCCTGGTTCTTATATGCAGCAAAAGCTCTGACGGCCACTGACAGCCAGCCAGTCACAAGACACTTCCAGAAATCATTAGTAACCAATCGTACATCGGGACCCGCCCACAGCTGTCAACAATGAATTAAACTCTTGTGCGAGCAGAAGCTTAATATCAAGCGGAAAGAGCAGTCAGGATAATTTTCCTCGTGTGCAAGAGTAGTTTTCCTCGCTCGCGAATTTTAAAGTGGATTTGACGGCATACAGAATCCACGATTGTATCCCTCTCGTTCAAAAACAGCTTTTAATTGTCTTTTAAAGCGATACCTTCAGCACTCTCAGCACTATGCTGGACAGTGTTCGTGGGAGAACTACAGACAAATCAACAAGCAGCAAACTAACAAAAGCAAAAACAAAGAGGAGCTCCAGTTTATCCCAGTTACACTTTGCCTTGCGTTACAATTTCATAATAAACAACCCAACAGAAAGGATCCAAAATGACTTGTTACAAAAACTTACATTAAAAGTTAACAATGTTTTTTACTCCTCCAGTAAAGTTGCCCTTTTGGAGATAGAAGCTTTTGTTCCAACAGCAACAAAATACACTGCGTTGTGCACAGTTCAATTCCTTACTCTCATAATAACATAAATTTAATATCAGCTCCACAGTAGTTACTACATAATGCATCTTAAGACTAATAACTGAAAAACAGGCCTAGAGTTTAAGGGGTTAATGAACTGCGGAAGTCAGGGTGGGAGTAGCAGTGGTTCACTTCACAAGTATTTCACATTTCTAACCAAGCCACAAGTTTGAAGCCTTTTATTGCACAGCAAACCGTATAAGACAAGCTCTGAAATCTATGATCCTCTGTCATTTAAATTTCTCGTCGGCCACGAAGGGGTTTTCCCACAGGGGGACGCAAAAATACATACAAATGTCTCTCTTCATTGTTGGGGTTTTCACAACACTCTGATGCCAGAAAGAGCCAAAAAAAGGTTTCTATATAGGGACAAACTGCGGAAGCCCAAAAGAGTGTCACTGAGGAGCTTCTTTCATCTTTCACTGCTAATAGAAATGGAGAATGTGTAGGTTTTGCTTCAAAACTTCCCAAAACTTCCCTAAATGACACGATTCGCTGAAGTAGTAGTGAAATCATCACTGTAACTTCATTAGAATAGAGGGCACAGAGATGGCACGATACCACTTTTCTTTTCCGATACTAATACCGTTATCAGAATCTTGCGTATCGGCCGATACCGATCCGATCCATTATTTCTTCCTTTTAAAAACTGCTAAGCTTTAAAATGAGCTATTTTCAATTGAAGATCTTCACTTAAGACAAGCATCTAGAAGTAGACCATCATACTGAAACTACTCAACACTATCAACCCCACAGGTGACAACACCACAGAGTGAGTGAGAGAGTGCAGTGGAGAAGAGCGAGGTTTATTTCCCACGCCAGAAGAGCTATTAAGAACTACTGTAACTAAAGTATATTTCACAGTTTCGATCCTCATTGGACCCTTTAACAACAGTCTCTGTAGCTAGAATCACATCTGAGGCGCTCATATTTCGGGTTTTACACCTTGTTCTTTGGTGACTCGCATTGTACGTTTGAACAGTCCTACATGTACAGACAAAGCCTAGATTTATATACTCACATCGTACGAAAACACTGGGTCTGATTGATATGCTCTGTGAAGCAAAGCCTCTACAGACAGCTCTGTCTATGGACAATTATCAATAAAACTTCAAAATTGCACATTGTGCACCGAGTACTGAGCAAACATGCTGAGAAACTGAGCTACAGCAGCTTTGCTAACTTGTACCGCACTGTGCATGGAAACTAAAAGCAGGTATTGATGTACATGGTAGGACAATACAGTCGCCCTACAGCCGATTTTACAAAAGCAATCAGCATATTAACACTGATACCTCATAATTCTGTTCAGTCAGAGTAAAGTCGGTATGTCCGGCCTTTTGTACTGGAAATGTCAACTTTTTTCGCCTCTGTTTAGTTTTAGTTTAGCCTACGTGTGTCCACCCATATTTATGAAGTGGTTGTGATTGTGATTGTCTGTTCAACACGGGCTAAAAATCACACAGTGCACTCCTGGCAGGAATACAAGGCGAAATGTTTAAAGTTACCAGCAACTTGAGTCAGTAACACTTCTCTGTGTGAGCAGATCCTCGATCACTGCCAGCTGGAGTCGTGTGTTCATTAGTACAGAAGCATACACTAAGTTTACGGAATATGGTATCTGCTGGTATCGGATGTTGGTATGGGTGCATTTTTGTGGTTGAGTATGAGCAAATGAGCACAGTATCGATGCCAGTATTGGTACTGGAACAACCCTAGTTAGCACAGTGTCAAAGCATGTTTTAGAAGTATTCAACTTTGTTTGATTTTACAAAGACCCTCAATTGTTGTGTAACCTAATCACCATTATATGTTAAATACACAGAGCTAAAGCCAAATATCAAAACATGCATTTCACCCCAGACAGTGTTATAACAACACAACGTCAGCAAAAACCCCCTTGACGTAGGCGTTATGCCAACTTGACAACACAGTTGACAAAAGCAGCCTTTGTGACAACTGCGGCTTATCGGAATAAGCATTCATTAAGGTTTATGTAGGTTTATGCCAGCTGTTCTATGGATATGAACATGACTACAATAAAAAAAAAGCGTCACCAAATAAATAATAAAATAAGCTAGTGGTATGATGGTCTATTCAATGATCACCTACTTGTTACTGTGCAGTTCATATAGTTATTCTACATTGGTTGTTTGTTTACAGACTTGAAGTGAGCAAAAGTGCCACGTCTTGTTTGATATTTCATGTAGATCCTCTACGCTGCAAAAATGGCATCTTGGAAAGTGAAATTATCTTAAATCTAATTGATGAATCTAACATTTCTCATTTGGAGATTGCTGTCCGCTTATTATCAGATTATTTCACTTATTTCTTGACATTTTGTACTTGTATTAAGTGATTTTATTATGTGAAATTCTATCTATATTGGTAGATAAGTTTGCTTATTTCAAGAAATATGCTTGAAACCAGCAAAGTTATCGGTCAATATAGTGAGACAATTTTCTACTTAATAAAATTACATAATTAAGTAAAACATCTAGACATAATTGAAATAATATTATAATAAGCTTACAGCAATCTCAAAATGAGAAATATTAAATATAGACTACATTTAATATATTTTCGCTTGTTAAGATATCATTTGTGATGTAGCAAGAAGAAAACATAATTGTATCTGGTCATCATAATTAAGCCTCATATCACCGAAACAGTAACATTTCAGACCACTTCTATTGGTCTACTGTTCATGAAATGGTCACACAATGCAAAGGACAGCTGGCTTTCCAAATGTTACAAGGCTTTGATACAACACACACAAAATGCATTCTTACCTAAATGTATCTTTCTTTCTTTCTTTCTTCTAAATGCTGGAGATGACCCACTGACACTGTCTTGACACCGATGAGGCCAGCAGGACAGCGGCCGTGGCAGGTTGTGAATGGAGACCCTGCCAGTGCCGCTCTGGGAGGAAGCGACCGTCAGCAGGGAGACGGCCGCCCCTTCCTGTGGTCCACAATACGAGGAAGGAGCGAGTTTCCTTCCTAATTCCGGCCACTTCATACCAGAGCACCCTCGTTCACGAGGGAACCCGATCACGCCTCACTCTCACACGTCCAGGACAGCGATGTTAATCTGCCCACTTAAACCCAGACTCGCCACGGGTCACAGCTCGTACAGGACTCACTCCTGAGCAAACAGCTGCTGAGCTCAAGCAAGTTTCGACAAAGTCGTTCACATTCGAACGTGACAGAGCGAGAGGTGACCGTTTTCTCTGGGAGTGTGTGACTTGTAGCTGCGATTAACAACGCTGGCAGGGTGACGAGCGCAAAATCAAGTTGAGATTTTCTCAACTTTAAGCAAACGAGATAAGAGACAGTGAAGCAACAACCTAAATGACTGGCTAAAATTCCTTGTACCAGTCGTTTACTCGGGGGGAGTCTGAGGTCTTCAGCTTCTACTGTCTAATATTTCATTTCTAGAAGCATTTTGTAAAGTTATAATCGCGGTTCATATCTTAAACTAACGCTGCACCAATACCATTTTTTTCCTTTCTGATACGGATACCAGACCCTGAAGCACTGACCAATACTGATGCTAACTCTAACCTAACTAGCTTATAAACCCTGATATTTATACAGATCTACTTCTTAAACATTTAACTTTGCTAAATCTGTATTACAAATAAAACATACCAAGCTTTAATGAATGACATTTACTTGTTGGATTATATATATATTCATTCATTAAATATTTCTAATATTCCTATATATATATATATATATATATACACACACACACACATATACACCGATTGTCCACTTCATTAAGAACACCTCCTACTGTCCATTTTATCAGCCCCATTGACCACATAGGAGCACTTGTAGTTCTACAGTTACAGACTGTAGTCCATCTGTATCTCTGTATACTTTGTTACCCTGTTCTTCAATGGTCAGGACCCCCATGGACCCTCACAGAGCAGGTAAAATGTGGGTGGTGGATCATTCTCAGCACTGCAGTAACACTGACGTGGTGGTGGTGTGTTAATGTGTGTTGTGCTGGTCTGAGTGCATCAGACACAGCGGTGCTGCTGGAGTTTTTAAACACCTCAGTGTCACTGCTGGACTGAGAATAGTCCACCAACCAAAAATATCCAGGCAACAGCGTCCTGTGGGCAGCGTCCAGTGACCACTGATGAAGGACTAGAGGAAGACCAACACAAACTGTGCAGCAGCAGATGAGCTACCGTCTCTGACTTTACATCTACAAGGTGGACTGACAAGGTAGGAGTGTCTAATAGAGTGGACAGTGAGTGGACACAGTGTTTAAAAACTCCAGCAGCACTGCTGTATCTGATCCACTTGCACCAGCACACCACACCACCACGTCAGCGTCACTGCAGTGCTGAGAATGATCCACCACCCAAATAATATCTGCTCTGTGGGGGGTCCTAACCATTGAAGAACAGGATGTATGCAGAGAAACAGATGGACTACAGTCTGTACAGTGCTCCTATGTGGTCAGTGGCACTGATAAAATGGACAATGAGTGAAGATACAAGCAAGTCTCCTAAACAGAATGGAAGGTAAATACTAAAATAATGATACCATATTTATGTTTCTGCTTTTTGTCTGATGCAGAAAGATGAATACCTTGTACTTAATGGCAGTTTGGAGTGGAAATTAAATAAATGAAGGGTGGTCTCTGACTTTTGCACAGTACTGTACATGTTTGTTTCCTATTAGTTACTAAATAATTCATAGTAGTTACATATAGTAGTTAGGTGTAAAGATTAATAAATGAATAATAAGCCTAATCCTTAAAAAAAGGATAATAAGCTTAGAAATTAAGACTCAAGAACAGTATATGAAAATGGTATTAGGTGTGTGTCAATATAAAAAACAAATAAATAAATAAATAAATCAGACAATGACAAAAGGTCTCGTCATGTAGACCAAGAATACTCGTAGCACTGTTTTCAGAGGGACTTTCTCTCTATATGGTGCAAGTTATAGAGCGGTACAGTGACTTCATTAACAGCTCGAATGTGTCTCTGTGAGTCACTACACTTCCACCGAACAACGCGGCTATTGTACGGCACAACTGCGTCCCAGTGCGCGTTCTCTGTTTGGAGCAGCTGAACTGGGAGCCGCTGGAACTGAATGCTGTATTGTGCTTTTCATTCGAATCCAGCTCTGTCATCATCGTGAGTGAAGATACCATCGCTGACGGGCTGTGTAATTAGCTCCATTTGGTGCCATTCGAAACAGGCCGCTGCCTTTCAAAAGTGCGAGTGAGGGGGCTTCACTTCAGCCTTGGAGAGCAGCTGTTCCACGTTTCAGTGACCACTGACACAGAAATAACTCAAACGTGCTTCATATTAGCAGTGCTGGGCAATGTTGATAAAGTTCAACATCACAATATTCAGTGTCAATATTTAAATGAGAATCCCACTGATTTTTTGTGCATAAATCAGCCGTTCAGTTGTAAACAAGGTCAGTCAGAGTGGTCTGGCGTGAAACTGTTCCTTGTAGAGAAACTTACCGACTCTTATTTCTTTCAGTGGTGGTGACAGAAACCAGGGGCTGTATTACAGAAACTCCCTATCTTTTTGTTTTAACTTCAGATCTGAAAGGTCAAGATGAGATTTTTCACAAATTCGTATTACAGAAGCAAATCTAATCTTAATTTAAGAATCTTATCTTTTCTTACAGCATCTTTTCTTATCTCGAGTTAGGAAATCTTCTCGATTGAAGTCGACAATCAACTGTCGTGTCTGTTACCTAGCAACTGACCATACACAGCTGAAACGTAAACACGTGATCAAGCTAGTTAGCCAGACAGCTAACGTTAGCTACCATTACTGAGGTAAAAAAGGTCAAACAAAACTAAAATCCCATAAACTGAAAGGTAAAAATATTGTGTCAGCGCTTTGTGTTGTTTTCAGAGCCGCTCCACAGTTTCAGTTTCAGTTTCCCAAACGCTTTAGCCGAGCGCGCTAATGTTATTCCTCCTAATAAACAGACACACGTTCAGCTCTGTCTCCTCATTATTCACCACCATCACTGTAATATTGCATCTGACAAGTATTATCAAACATTAACACCTGAAGATGATAAGAGGGGACGGTGGCGATCGTGTGTGCAGAGTCTGAGGTTTTAAATAACGCAGTTAAAAAAAAAAACTCACAAGTCAAAGCACCGGTTTCAGTGTAGATAAATGTAGTGTCACTATGCTGGTTATAGTGAACTGTGCTGCCTCTCACTGCATAAAACAATAGAAACAGACGATTAAAACAGAAGTTAAGATGCTCTGGGGTTTATCTTAAAGTTAAGAAAATATTTAGGATATTTTGCCAACTTAGAATGTTTCTGTAAAACTGTTTTCTTATCTGGAAATAGATTATAGACTTAAGAACTGTTGTTCTGTAATAGCTTATGTCCTAAATTCAGTCTTAACTGAAGTTACCATGACAACAAAGCAGATAAGATATGATCTCAGGCTTAAGAATTTGCTGTAATGTGGCCCCCTGGGTCACAATGTCTACAACACAAATATAGCCATTTTATTTACTATCCAAAACCACCACTGAACCTGCACGAGTCTTCTGAGCTTTTATATGTAATGTTGTTGATGGTAAAATAGTGGTAAATCTGAAACTTTTATGCCTACAATGCCCAGCATGCACCGTTCCTCCAGGAAAGGTTTTACAAAAAGCACATTTTCAACCAAAATTTGATCTCATTACATCATAAAACAACATCTCTGACATCCACCACTGTGAACAAATCTGCCATTTCTCTTTCAACCACATGTCACATGACATCTTTACCATTTAATTATACAGAAATTCTGAAAAATTGGTGGAATTCCCCTTTGAAGCCCCCAAAACCAAAACAACACAAACTGGCAAAAAAATATGCTTTTAATTTTCATTCTTCAAACGTGCAAATCAGGTACATAGGAATAAAATCAACAAGAAGGAAACCACTTGATAGCTTTGAATCATAATTCCAAGGCACCATGTTTTCAGTGCACAATGCTGTCATGAAACTACAAGGAAATTCCACTGATTTTTCACAATTTCTGCTTAATTGAATGGTTAAGATGCAGACAAAGTCATTCTTTTCATTTTCGTGTTAAGTGCTCCGCTCCAGAGAAACTTACTGAGTCAGAATTGTTCACAGTGGTGATGATAGGAACCAGACGTCTGAAGACCTACCTTACTCAAAGTTGTCACGTGAAAAGGTTATGAATTTGCTGCCTGATGCCTCAGCGCGTTTACATGCACTTAATAAAACGATCATTATCAGATTCAGGAAGTTATCCGATTACTCAAGTGGTCAGATTAAGGCCTAGAAATCCAATTGAGAAATACTATACAGAGGGCAAAGGTTTTGCTTAGTAATCAAATTTCTCAGTGCATGTAAACTCTTACTCTGATTTCTTTCGCTTTTCTCAATCTGCACATGAGCGCTGTCCTCAAAACAGCAAGCAGCACTGAACACAGCACCTACAAGATGACAGTAAAATACTTCTGGAGCGATGCTGAAGCGAATTACATGCTTGTTGAAATGAAGAATTTAAATATCTTCATCTTCTACATGCTGTATGTTCATATTTTCAGCTAAAGCGGCTCGATGTTTAAAAAGAAAAAAACCTGCAGCATCATGTTTCAGTATTACATTACGTCACGTCTTCTTCTGTGAGTTTACTGGCCGGTTGTAAAGCAGAAATCCGATTACTGCCTGAATCATGTAGACCCAGAGTTTCACCCATTATCTGATTACTCAATTGCATGTAAACGCACTGAACAAATTACTGGCAAAATCTGTTTTTCTGCAGTTATCAGAGTAGCGTATGTAAACTCACTGTTTTATGATAGTTTTGACACAAGATTTTCAACATGACAATGGCCATATTTTGTAGCTGTAGACACTGCGACCCCTGGTTCCTATCACCACCACTGTAAAGAAACCCAAGTCAGGAAGTTTCTCTACGCAGAACCGTTTCACATAAAACCACAGTGAATGACTGAACTGCCCAGAGGAATGAAATATTCTGAATGAGATCTCTTAGGCCCAATCACTTTTCACCCCTCACCCCTACCACTCAGCCCTTACCCCTCCATTTTGCGCGTTCACATCTAGGGGCAGGGTGTCCTGATTTTGTTGAGATAGAGGGGTAGGGCGAAGGTTTAGGGCTACATGGCCCTCCAAACGGAGGTTTTTCAGAGACACACTCCAAACTGAGTGTTGGAAAAAAAGAAAAACTGGTACGATGGCTGAACAAGCAACCAAAAAAACCCACAAATGTGAGTAATTTCTCTGTAAAAAAAATTACGATAACCACTGTATTATCTTAGTTTAATGTCGTTTCCGTGTGTTATGGTCCTTTTTTCACAACAAGCATAAAACATTGCTAGTAGTATGCTAATGATTAGTAGCTAGCTAGCTAATTTTCCAGTTCCACCTTAAATGGTGCAGCAGTTACATTCTGGCACCTCAGGCATCAGAAATGCTGTACCATTTAAGGTGGAATGGGAAAATTTGAACAAGAAGCTGGTGAATATCTGACTTCAGCTTCATATCACTGAAGAATTAGGGGTGGGTGATAATAAACAATTGTCATCCCCCTCTTTGAAGGCATATGATGACCTAAATGTAACTAAAGCCCAGCAGTGAGGAGCTGAACTTTACCCTCCTCTGCTGTCACTGCAGACTGGCAGGGTCGCCTACAGAGCAGCGCTGGTAGCTGTTAAAGAAGTAATGCTCTTTTTTATTTGAGGTTCCACTTTTTGTAGGAGAAGATTTCAACCACTACCCCTTCTGACTCAGTTCCAAGGTGCAAAGTGACACTCGAAAACAGGGGGCAGGGGTAAAAATAAGAAATGGGTTTGGGCCTTAATCTCAGGTACTTCTCCTAGATGTGGTTAAGCCCTGTCTGAAATCGGAGTGAGACTTAAGCCACTTTCTCCTGTTTCTGCATTTTGGCTTCTGAGAAACAGTCCTCATATTTCCCCACTGTGATTAAATTATTGTTACACATATGGATTAACTTTTTAGTGTCTGACTCATCTCACCATTCACACCAGTCTTAGCTGAATAATATTTCCATAGGAAAACCATAAGATCATCATCGTCTTCTTATATAGCTCTATTCTCAGAACTCTTCCAGGAGTCTATCAGTGTAGAAGGAGAACTCATTCTTTCCTCATTCATCACCAGAACTTCTTTCAAAGAAATGCTCATGTTAATCTCCTCTTTTCTCCTAAAGAGGGGTTTATGAGTAAGATTTCAGTAATCAGTGATCCCCCAGTAATACAATATTGAGATGTGCTTTATTTCTTTGAGACAATCCTAAGAAGACATTTTTCCAGCAGAAATTTTGATAAACTGGTGACATTCCCCTTAGATGCCAAACAACCAGCCAGCACTGAGGAGACGCTTATTCATGTTTCAGTGACAAATGACACACAGAAAAGGCTAAATGTGCCTGTTTTCAGCCATATGGACTGTTCATTGGTGTCCAGCATACCTGACTGATTATTCAGGCTGAAGTTGGCTTCCTATTCAGCTCCTTGTTCGAATTTCCCCGTTCCACCTTAAATAGCGCCGTAGTCACCGTTGTAACGCCTAAAGCTCCAGGACGTAACAGCTGCTCCATTTAAGGTGGAACGGGAAACTTCAAATAAGAAGGCGACTTCTGCTTCGTTTATTCAAAGCCTTTTAACCAAAAAAGCACTGACGGTCACCTTTTCTGTCCTCCTTTTTCTCTGCAAACAGAAAAACCCCTTCAGTTGTGGAGTTTATCACCTAAACGGTTCGCTTAGCAACGACATTTTTATCAGATTAGGACGAAGGAAGAAGCAGCAGCTTACCGCTGAAGGGTTTGGAGCCTTGCTTGGAGAGAATATCTCCCAAAACCTTCCCCACATCCCTTTAACAGCAGCAGACAGAAGTTAGTCAACAGGTTTTCCTCATGAAGTGAGTAAAAACATCGTTGTGCTCTCCTTCTGCTCGCCACTCCGCCGCCATAAAACACTATAACGGACAATCTTTATATCGCAGCTGCTGCTGCTGCTGCTATAAATAGAATGGCCTCGCCTGATGGAGGGTTGTCTTTCGGCTAAATCGTGAGAGGATTTTTTTTACCCGAGGTTTAATGTAACTTACAGACTGTAATGTAAGCTGTAGAGTTAAGTAAGAGCTGTTTGAACAAGTATCTGTTTGGAAATCATGGCCTGGGCAGCGTTTTTTTCAAAAAAAGTGCTCCATCTTCCCCCCAGCTTGTGGAAGTGGTCTGTTCCGCCACACCAAAGCGTTCAAGTTTAAGGGAGAACTCTACCGATTTTTTTAAATTCCACATAAGGACGTGGTTGAGATGTAAACAAAGTCATTCAGAGAGGTTTGGTGTGAAATGCTTTGTTCTAGATAAACTTGCAGAGTGAGAATTGTTCACAGTGGTGGTGATAGGAACCAGACGTCCACCTCCAAAAGCTCCCTCATAGAAAGTTATCACATTAAATGGTTACGAATACGCCGCCTGATGTCTAAGACATATTTTATGACAGTTTTGTGGTAAAGTTTTGTCTTAAATTGTATTTTAATCCATTTATTTTAACCCATTCAGTGTGAAGGGGAGCATGCTGGGCGTTGTAAGGCAAAATAGGCCCCAAAGAAAAGTTATTTTTTCATATTTATGACTATTTTACCATCATCAGCATTACATATAAAAACTCAGAAGACACGTGTAGGTTCGATAATGTTTTTGAATAGAAAATAAAATGGCCATAATTGTGTTGTTGACACCGGGACCCCTCCTATCACCAAACCATTTCATATCAAACCAATCTGAATGGCTTTGTTTACATCTTAACCATTTAATTATGCAGAATTTTTTTAAAATCGGTGGAATTGCCCTTTAACGTGGCCCCTGCTTGAACGCCTCAAAGAAAACAAACAAAGACTAATACAAACCATTGACTTCAGTGGAGGCAATAAAGAGAAAATGTAAATGTAGAAATATACATGTTTTTGTCTGTTACACAATTATTTTTAAATTTAATTATTACAGTCTAATACGAGGCTATAGTGCTATACCATAGTCTATGCTTACGTTATACGCTAAGGGTGGGCGGATTGATACCAACAATTGTGATACCTTGATGCCTTTTGAGAATCGATCTTCTTGTGAAAATATCCATTCTAATCACTTTGATTAAGGAATAAACGTTATATTTATCATTTTATTAAACCAAGTGTGTCTTTGATGCTGAAAAAATAAATAAATAAGTAGTAAATGGGACCTGAGCAGGGCAGGAACTACTTTTCCTTCCGCCTTCTCCTGCTCTCTGCTCCGTGTATACATACGCTGCCCTCAACTTGGGATCTTGGAATTTCTGACCTTGGGCTAGGCAAAAAATAAAAGAAACCACTCCTTCAACTGGGAATTCTGACTCAAAAAGTCAGGATGGTGTTCTCAACTCTGGGTCTCGGTCTCAAACATCTTGCTACTCCCTACATAGCGCACTGCATAGGCCATGTAACTGTGGCTTCCTTCATTTTAATGCATTTTCCCTTCTGTCAGTGTTTAAGTCACATGTGTCAGGCTCCAGTCCTTGTGGGCCAAAACACTGCAGACTTTAGCCCGCTGCCTCATTAAACACACCTGATTCAGCTCATCAGCTAATTAGCAAGGCCTTCACAAACTGAATTCAAAGTGTTAGATGAGGGTAAACGCTAATATCCGCAGGGCTTTGGCTCGGAAAGTCCCCAGTTTGACATGTCTGGTGTTGACATGAGGGAGTAGGGTAGAGGCATGATAATTCTAAATGGAATGGACAGAATAGGGCATAAACACTGGGAAGAAGGGAAAATGCATTAATAGGTAGGTGTAAACATTAGGGAGGAAGACAGATGCATGATAATCCTAAATGGAATAGACAGGGTAGGGCATAAAAACTATAGAGAAGAGAAAATGCATTAAATTTTAGGGTGTAGACAGTAGGGAGTAAGGAGTAGACAGTGGGGAGTAGGGTGTAGGGTGTAGGGAGTAGGGAGTAGACAGTAGGGAGTAGGGTGTATGGAGTAGGGAGTAGACAGTAGGGTGTAGGGAGTATGGGGTATGGAGTAGGGTGTATGGAGTAGGGAGTAGACAGTAGGGTGTAGGGAGTATGGAGTAGGGAGTAGACAGTAGACAGTAGGGTGTAGGGAGTAGGGAGTAGGGAGTAGACAGTAGGGAGTAGGGTGTATGGAGTAGGGAGTAGACAGTAGGGTGTAGGGAGTATGGGGTATGGAGTAGGGTTTAGGGAGTATGGAGTAGGAAGTAGGGAGTAGGGAGTAGACAGTAGGGAGTATGGAGTAGGTAGTAGACAGTAGGGTGTAGGGAGTAGGGAGTAGACAGTAGGGAGTATGCAGTAGGTAGTAGACAGTAGGGTGTAGGGAGTAGGGTGTAGGGTGTAGGGAGTATGGAGTATGGAATAGACAGTAGGGAGTAGGGTGTAGAGAGTATGGAGTAGGGAGTATGGAGTAGGGTGTATGGAGTAGACAGTAAGGTGTAGGGAGTAGGGTGTAGGGAGTAGGGAGTATGGAGTAGGGTGTAGGGAGTAGGGAGTAGGGTGTAGGGAGTATGGAGTATAGAGTGGGGACTAGACAGTAGGGTGTATGGAGTAGGTAGTAGACAGTAGGGTGTAGGGAGTAGGGAGTAGACAGTAGGGAGTAGGGAGTAGACAGTAGGGAGTATGGAGTAGGTAGTAGACAGTAGGGAGTATGGAGTAGGTAGTAGACAGTAGGGTGTAGGGAGTAGGGAGTAGACATTATGGAGTAGGTAGTAGACAGTAGGGTGTAGGGTGTAGGGAGTATGGAGTATGGAGTAGACAGTAGGGAGTAGGGTGTAGGGAGTATGGAGTAGGGAGTAGACAGTAGGGAGTAGGGTGTATGGAGTAGACAGTAGGGACTATGGAGTAGGGTGTATGGAGTAGACAGTAGGGAGTAGGGTGTAAGGAGTATGGAGTAGGGAGTAGACAGTAGGGAGTAGGGTGTATGGAGTAGACAGTAGGGACTATGGAGTAGGGTGTATGGAGTAGACAGTAAGGTGTAGACAGTAAGGTGTAGGGTGTAGGGAGTAGGGAGTATGGAGTGGGGAGTAGGGAGTAGGGTGTAGGGAGTAGAGTGTAGACAGTAGGGAGTAGGTTGTAGGGAGTATGAAGTAGGGAGTAGGGATTAGGGTGTAGGGAGTAGGGTGTATGGAGTATGGAGTAGGGAGTAGAGTGTAGGGAGTATGGAGTGTGGCGTAGACAGTAGGGTGTAGGGTGTAGGGAGTAGACAGTAGGGAGTAGGGTGCAGGGAGTAGGGAGTAGGGTGCAGGGAGTAGGGAGTAGGGTTTAGGGAGTAGGGAGTAGAGTGTAGGGAGTAGGGAGTATGGAGTGTGGCGTAGACAGTAGGGTGTAGGGTGTAGGGAGTAGACAGTAGGGAGTAGGGAGTAGGGTGTAGGGAGTAGGGAGTAGGGTGCAGGGAGTAGAGCACAGACATGTTCATTTGGAAACGGAATAGGACGTGTAAACTCCGCCCCTCCCTCTCTGCTGCGCGTAGTCGACGTAAAACTGCCGCGACAAGCGCGCTTTGACGGAGGACTTCATGCCGTCCTTGTGGAAATGAGACTCTCTAGCTGTGCGTGTCTGTTAAAACTTATATAATTCAGCTTTAACCGTTTAACAGCGTGTACGTTCTGACTGTGAGCTACGAACGCGTATTTATGTATAAACGTGCAGCCTCGTAGCTCTGGAGGAGCTCGATCTTCCTGTTTTGACTGATTAATCAGTGTAATACAGCTATGACATTGACTTAAAGGGGAATTCCACCCATATTTCAAAACGTAGGCATAACGCAAAGATTAAGGTATAAACAGAGTCATTCAAAGTGGTTTGCTGTGAAATGCTCAGTTTTAGAGAAACATGCAGAGTGAGTATTGTTCATAGTGGTGGTGATAGGAACCAGACGTCTGAAGAGCACCTAAATGCTACCTCACAGGAAGCTATTACACAAAATGATAACAGATATGCAGCCTGATGCCTGATACACTGTTTTATGATCGTTATGATGTAAAGTTTTGGCTGTCAACATGATTTAAAATCCATATGTAGGTGGAGAGGTACATGCAGGGTGCTGTGAGGCAAAATAGTCCCCAAAGAAAACTTATTTTTTTAGATTTCTTACTATTTTATGAACATTACATATAAAAACACAAAAGATTTGTGTAGGTTCACTGGTCATTTTGGATAGTAAATAAAATGGCTGTATTTGTGTTGTAGATATCGCCACCCCTGGTTCCCATCACCACCACTGTAAAGAAATCTGAGTCAGTAAGTATTTCAATAAAGGATTTCACATCAGACCACTTTGGATGACTTTATTTACATCTCAGTGATGGAATTATGCAAAGTCTTTATATTTCCTGTTTAAACATTAATAATGATGTCTTATATTCTCTCGAGTTCATCATTTAGTTTTATTTGTTTTTACTAACATAACATTTTATACGTTCTCAGAGAATCCACCAGCTAGAGAAAGCGATGGCGTCTGGTTTCCTGAAATTCTCGGTGCTGGTGCAGAAGTATCGGACCCCTCTCCTCCTCACTGGCTGCGGCGGCGTCTTTGCTGCCAACATTTTCTACCACGTCTTTCCTGAAAACACTTACAGGAAACTGTACCAGGCCTGGAGCAAAGGAGAGCCGGCCGTGCTGTCAGACAAACTGGAGGATGTGTTTCAGCAGGTGCTGAAGGACTCGTCTGTGGGCTCCCCCAGCAAATACAGCGCTTTCGCCGCCTACGGCTTCCATCCTGTCGGGGCGGGGGTCCCGTGGCTCCCCTTGGGCGCACAGATCGGCATCCCCGCCAACTTCAACAGCACTGCAGACGACCCATCGGGAATCACTAACCGAACCATCCTCATCAACGGCAAAGAGGTGGAGTGGGACAGCGAGGTGGGCACGGCTCTGAAAGACGCCCTGCTGTTGTCCCGGGATGCTCAGAAGTTCGCCGTGGCGCGCGAGGTGTGATGAGTTCAGTGTTATTTTTCACCCTAGATATGTTTTCTTTACTGTTACTAACGTTCAAACTTCAGAAAGTAGGGTCTGCATTCTGTTGGGGGTCTGACTGCAGATCTGCCAGAATATTGATAGTTGCTTTTTTGTTAAAGCAAAAATTCACACACAGTTTAGAAGCTTACAGTCACATGCCTAAATCACACATTTGCTTGAGTTGTTATGAGATCTCAAATAGAGCATGCACGAGTATGGACATTCTAGGTCAGGGGTCGGCAACATGCGGCTCTTTTACTGCCCTGTTGCGGCTCCACATCAGAACTAGATTCTAAGGTAAAAATAAAATAATCCTCCTTTGCAGTAAAATAAAGCTCTGCTGGTCGTTTTAACAATAAATGGTCTTAAACGCTGGAGTTAATGTAGAACTGCTAATTCACCCTTTAACCCTGAAGGTCACCATGCAGACTGCTGGTCACCATAGCAACGCTGACAACCTCGCTTAGCTAGTAGCGAACGAAACAACAAAGAGAATGATTTGGAGACAAACGGACTTATTTGCATTTCTAAGCTCTCAGATGATTTACTGATATGTTCAATCTGCAACGAGAAACTGTCAAACACTAAAAAGTCATGAAGCTGAAGTCAGCTTCTCATTCGCCAGCTTCTCGTTTGAATTTTTCTGTTCCACCTTAAATGGTGCACCAGTTAGATTCTGGCGCCTCAGGTACCATTTAAGGTGGAACAGAAAAATCTGAGCAAGAAGCTGGTGAATAAATGAAAAGTTGCATGCTGAGAGACATTTTACTATTCCACTTTTGAGGAAAGGTTTCCTGCCAGAGATGCGAGAAAAGCAGCTATAGCTGAGCTAAAGCTTAAAGCAGAGCAAAGTAAGTCTGCGTTTTCGTTCGTATTAAATTTTTTTAGTCTACATTTGGACATCAGCACATACTGAGACGTATTTACAGCCAAGATGGTAAAATGGTCATAAAATGTTGTGGCTTCCAAAGTGGTTTAATTTTTATTGAAAGGACAAAATGGCTCTTCTTAACACTTTGGTTGCCGACCCCTGTTCTAGGTCATTAATTAATGCCTTACCGAGGCGATATCGATATCAGTACCTAATTTTTTATTAATGAATTTAATTAACTATGTTAATTTAATTGATTTTACCATTAAAGCTTTGCATTATTTATCACAGTTCTAAAGCCATTCACAACAGATGGTGAATTTATCATTAGAAGTGTCGTTGGTAGGGCTGATTTAATGCACGGGCTTACCTGTACTGAAGCTCAGGGGCCCCAGGGAATTCAGGGCCCCCTTTTTTTTTTAAATATTTTTTTTTAGCATTGTTGCCGTCAGTTTTCTGTGAATTTAGTACAAAGGCTGAAATGGGATTTGAGAAAATGTCAACTCAGACATCTAATATTACTTCGAAGCATCAAAGGTAGGAAAAGAATGGACCATTAACATTTTTCATGCCAGTCATGGCAGCATGCTTTACATACGATGAATTAGGCTAAGGTTTTTAAGTTTGCTGTGTTATTTTTCCTCGTCTTTGTACAACTCACGTCGTCTTCTTTGGGGCCGTGCATTTATGTATTGTGTTCCTCTTCTTCGCAGGCCTGCACACAAGTTTACTTCTGAGTCAGACGATAGACTATAGCTTGTCATGGATGTTGGTTGTTATGGTGATGATGGTTTTACAGAGTAAACTGTACCGCACACCGCTGGAGAAGCGTCGCGCACAACTAGCACATATGAGCTCAAGCTGAAGTTCATCTGAAGTTCAGTGCACATTTCAAACCATGGCCGACTGTGGCTTTTCTATGGCTTTTAGTGGTTTGGTTCTGTGTGCATGTTTGGTGAGGCTGAAACTGGCTTCCTGCTTACAAGATTCTTATTCACATTTTCCATTCCACCTTAAATGGTGCAGCAGTTACAGGAGTCAGAATGCAACTGCAGCACCATTTAAGGTAGAACGGAAAATATGGTGGATAAGAATCTAACTTCAGCTTTGTGCAGTAATGGAAAGATGATAAATGGCAGTACTGGAAGTCAGTAGCTTCAATAAAACGAAGGTTCAGATGAGCGCCTCTGGTCACTGGACACTATTAGGGCTGTCACTATTGATAATATTACTGATCAAGTAAAAAGTATAACACCGATCAGGCATAACATTATGACCACCTCCTTGCTTCTACGCTCATTGTCCATTTTAGCAGCTCCACTTACTATATAGGTGCACTTTGTAGTTCTACAGTTACAGACTGTAGTCCATCTGTTTCTCTGCATACTTTGTTAGCCCCCTTTTACCCTGTTCGTCAGTGGTCAGGACCCCCATGGACCCTCACAGAGCAGGTACTATTTGGGTGGTGGATCATTCTCAGCACTGCAGTAACACTGACGTGGTGGTGGTGTGTTAGTGTGTGTTGTGCTGGTCTGAGTGGATCAGACACAGCAGTGCTGCTGGAGTTTTTAAACACCTCAGTGTCACTGCTGGACTGAGAATAGTCCACCAACCAAAAATATCCAGGCAACAGCGTCCAGTGACCACTGATGAAGGAATAGAGGATGACCAACACAAACTGCGCAGCAGCAGATGAGCTCTCGTCTCTGACTTTACATCTACAGGGTGGACTGACAAGGTAGGAGTGTCTAATAGAGTGGACAGTGAGTGGACACAGTGTTTAAAAACTCCAGCAGCACTGCTGTGTCTGATCCACTCAGACCAGCACAACACACACTAACACACCACCACCACCACGTCAGTGTTACTGCAGTGCTGAGAATGATCCACCACCCAAATAGTTCCTGCTCTGTGAGGGTCCATGGGGGTCCTGACCACTGAAGAACAGGGTAAAAGGGGGCTAACAAAGTATGCAGAGAAACAGATGGACTACAGTCTGTAACTGTAGAACTACAAAGTGCACCTATACAGTAAGTGGAGCTGATAAAATGGACAATGAGCGTAGAAACAAGGAGGTGGTCATAATGTTATGCCTGATCGGTGTATGAGCTCAAGCTGAAGTTCATCTGAAGTTCAGTGCACATTTCAAACCATGGCCGACTGTGGCTTTTCTATGGCTTTTAGTGGTTTGGTACTGGGTGCGTGTTTGGTGAGGCTGAAACTGGCTTCCTGCTTACCAGACTCTTATTCACATTTTCCATTCCACCTTAAATGGTGCAGCAGTTACAGGCATCAGAATGCAACTGCAGCACCATTTAAGGTAGAACGGAAACTCTGAAAAAGAACCTGATGGATAAGAATCTAACTTCAGCTTTGTGCAGTAATGGAAAGATGATAAATGGCAGTACTGGAAGTCAGTAGCTTCAATAAAACGAAGGTTCTGAGCTGGACCCTGTGTGTAACTACACCCTTAGGCCCCAGGACCACCTGTAACCCCAGGGCCCACGAGCAGGTTAAAGCGCCTGTGGTCACTGGACACTATTAGGGCTGTCACTATTGATAATATTACTGATCAAGTAAAAAGTTTACGTATAACTGAAGTAGTATAAGGGTATCTGCGGGTATCCTCAAGATCAGTTTAATGCTTTTTTAAGTCACATTAATTTTGCTTTAAGACAAACTTGTATCAGTCGCTCATACTATTGTATAGCAGCAGCCTGAGCACAAAATATATCACAGCAAACATTTCATTTTTCTTAATGTACATAAAATCTTTTCAGTCATGTATTTGCTCCACTATATGGAGAATCTGCTACACATGGCTGCTAATCTGTTTATCATTAAGATTATAAACTGATCACTAATTGATTCATCAAGAACATAAATTTTAATCGATTCATTTTTTGACAAGTATCAGTTTTTACTTGAGTAATCATGAACACTGTAGATTCTGTTATTGTACCATAGAGCTGGACAATATGACAATATATCGCTGCTGTCAGAACAAAACCTTGTATCCCTATTTTTGTCGTTTTTCAGTTTTTGACATAATTTGAAAGGGCCTGTTGTCCTTTACATTGTATGTAAATTCCATGATGAATGGACCAAAAGAAACAACCCAAAATTACTTGGAAAAAAGTCTGGTTCCATTGACTTACATTAAAAGTAGAGTATGTTTTTTCCTTCTCCTATAAAGTTACCATTTTGGAGGTACGAGGTTTTGTTCCACATCACAGTAGGTCGCTCTATGCGTTTCTGAGCATATAATCATGGATATCATCAATACTAAAAACTCACTTCCCAACTGTATGTTTGATTGAAAAGAGAATAATTTGTCTTTAATTGGAATTGAATTCGATTTTTGTGCAGCACAGTGTGTAAAATATTGAGTACAAAGAATTGGATTTATGGTTTTTGATAGTATTTTTAAATGTAGCACTGCTTTCTCTGTTGTAGCTTATCAGATGTCAGAAAAATAAATATTGTCACTCACTGTGTATCATAAAAACTTCCTGAAGTATCATGATATTACATTTTGCCATATCACCCACCACTATTGTGCCGTTCCCTTTTTGGAATAGCACTTGTGGGCTTCATACATAGTCACTGGTGTGCTAGCTTGCCTGGGGAATCTCTCTAAATGGAAAACATGTACACTGACTGCACTGTTCACTCATGTGGCTGCTTTGTTTGCAACTGTGAAGTAAAGTGAGGAGAATTAGTTTGTTGCCCTGAGGCAACTTCATGCAATAGAGGTTTCAAAGTATGGAAATACCCACCACTAATGATTACCCATGTAATTATTTGCTGTAATTCCAATATCAAACTGATAGTTGGCAAGTAAGTTCTCAGCTGCTGATGCATCTGATATATTGGGCACCTCTAATCACCAATTGTCTGCCCCATGCTAATCTGGTTATTGTGTTCATTTTAACATGATAAAACAAATAGAAGTTCTGACCAGTGACCAGATCACCTCATACTGATCTTGTGCTCCACTTTATGATCCAACAGGTGACTCGGCTGGACGGTGGTGGGCCGCTGCTTCAGGCTGCTGTTGCTCCAGCCTGTCTGGCTGGGGCCTGTATCTACAGCGTGGCTCTCAAACAGATCTTTGGGCTCCTCGCTGGTTCCCTCATCCTCAGAGCTGGAGTTAATGTGGTTGCTGTGAGTCTGGGAGCTGTGTCATACTTTTTAGCCTCCGATGCCGTCAGCCAGTGGCTGGAGTATCACTCGGACAAGCGGGCTGCCAGCCTGTCCCGTGATTACGCTAAAGGTGGAGTGGAGTTCTATGAGAAGATCCTGTCCAGGAACAAAATCCTGCGAGTTCTGATGGGTCCTAAAGGGGAGGAGATGTACGCGCCCAGCGGAAATCTGTTCCCGGCCAATGTGCTGAGTCTCAAACACGCACCGTACACGTCAAGACGAGACGGAATTCTGAGTTTGCTGAAGGAGGAGAAAGCATGAAGGACGTGTTTGGTGTCGGACTTAAATGACTTACCTAAAGGACTGTGATTTAGGTTCGTTTTGAGTGTTTGCAGTATTTAAGCACTTCCATTTGTCAGTTACCATGGACAGTCAAAACCAATTGACACCCAGCACTGTTATAGACCAGTGTAGTCATGCGCCATCCAGTAGTCTGTGTTATGCCCATATTTGGAGCTCCGGACCTAAGCTTGAATTTTCTATGGCAAAAATGAATGGGATTTTCAAAAATGACTTCTGTCATGCCCTGTTATAAATAAAAATGTTCAGACCCCAATACGTTTTGTCCTGGGTATATCTCATATTTATAGGTAGCTCTGTACATAAAAACTCAGTAAGATATTTTGATAGCTTAAATGATAATTAAATGAAAAAATACTACCAGCATTAAAACTACGAAGCCAGCTTCTTCTTAGAATTTTCCTGTGCCACCTTAAATAGTGCAGCGGTTATTTTAAATGCAGCAGGTGCCAGAATGTAACTGCAGCAATATTTAAGGTGGAACAGGAAAATTTGTGGTGAATGTCCTTATTAGAAAATGTTACCAGCATTAAAATAATAATCAGAATATTCTGATACGCTAAATCAACTTATCAGGGGGTAAGTAGTAGTATTAATATAAATAAAGTCTTTTCTGATTTAACATTAAAAACACAATAAAACATTACAGTGTACTAAAGATGTGCGCCTGCTCATTCGCGGTCGTATCACTTTGTGGGTTGTCAGCCTTTTTCAAGGATGACCAGAAGAGCATTAGAAGAGGTGAAAACTACTTTGAGTCTGGACTTGTTGAGCAGTGTAGCCTGAGAACAAGTCTGCCTGTACGGCTCCCACACTGACAAAGTATGCAGGTTTAGGTGGTTTTCAAGGAGGCTACCAGTCTCATGGCGTCAATTCAGTGTGTAGTAGCGTTAGCTTACATATAGCAATATTCATATTTCGACTCTTTAACTGCCTCGTAGTCCAGAGGATCCAGTGATATTGCAGAGAAAAATGTTCATAGGACAAAATGTATCAGCTTTGGAGCATTTTTGATTATCACAGGATGCAACAGGGGTCATTTTTGAAAACACAATTCATTCATCTCATAGAGAAATTCCTTTAAGACCTGCAGCTCCTTATGAGGATGTAAGAGCATGGCACCGACTCTAGAATGACGACACGACTTCAGTGGTCTACAGCAGAAGCCACTGGGCAGTTACTGAAGTCCATGAATAAATATCCCTAATGCATGATAGTGCAACACCAATTTTTACTGACAGAATTCAGCAACTGGCCAATGGCTTCTGATATTAGATTTTCTAAGTTTAAGGAAACACGTCAAGATTATCGTTAACAGTAACTGACAATATGCCACAGGTATGGCAGATAGAGATTAGGTTGAAAAAGTATTCCTTTAATGTTCATGTGGATGCTGCAACAACAATAAATGCAAATTAAAGGGGAATTTCACAGATTTTTCAAACTTTATGCATAATACATCATTAAGATGTAAACTCAGAGTGGTTTGATGTGCAATGCTCCATTCTAGAGAAACTTACAGAGTCAGAATTGTTCACAGTTCCCAAAGAAAACGTATTTTTTCAGATTTACTACTATTTTACCATCGTCGGCATTGCATAAAAAGCTCGGAAGACACAAAGGTTCGCTGGTGGTTTTGGATGGTAAATAAAATGGCTATATTTGTGTTGTAGACATGGCAACGCCTGGTTCCTATCACCACCACTGTAAAGAAATCTGAGTCTCTACGTTTTTCTGCAACAAACAATTTCACATCGGATTACTTTAAAGGACTTAGTTTACAGCTCAGCTACTGAATAATGTTGATATTTTGAAAAATCAGTGGAATTCCCATTTTAGACACAAGGACTGGAATGTTCCGGAAGGTCAGAATATACTGGAAACAAATCAAATGTTGTGAATAAATTTTTGAACTAAAAATTCTCTCCATAGATTTCTTTATAAATCTTTCCCCAATCTTGAATACACTATATTGCCAAAAGTATTCGCTCGTCTGCCTTCACACGCATATGAACTTGAGTGACATCCCATTCTTAATCCAAAGGGTTTAATATGATGTCGGCCCACCCTTTGCAGCTATGACAGCTTCAACTCTTCAGGGAAGGCTTTCCACAAGGTTTAGGAGTGTTTATGGGAATTTTTGACCGTTCTTCCAGAAGCGCATTTGTGAGGTCAGACACTGATGTTGGACGAGAAGGCCTGGCTCGCAGTCTCCGCTCTAATTCATCCCAAAGGTGTTCTATCGGGTTGAGGTCAGGACTCTCTGCAGGCCAGTCAAGTTCTTCCACACCAAACTCGCTCATCCATGTCTTTATGGAGCTGCTTTGTGCACTGGTGCGCAGTCATGTTGGAACAGGAAGGGGCCGTCCCCAAACTGTTCCCACAAAGTTGGGAGCATGAAATTGTCCAAAATCTCTTGTTCTGCTGAAGCATTAAGAGTTCCTTTCACTGGAACTAAGGGTCCGAGCCCAACTTCTGAAAAACATCCCCACACCATAATCCCCCTCCACCAAACTTTACACTTGGCACAATGCAGTCAGACAAGTACCGTTCTCCTGGCAACCGCCAAACCCAGACTCGTCCATCGGATTGCCAGACGGAGAAGCGTGATTTGTCACTCCAGAGAACACGTCTCCACTGCTCCAGTGCTAGGGCTGAGCAATATGGCGATATGTTATCGCTGTCGTGATAAATTATGTCTCAATATGCTTTTCTGAGTACTTAAAGAACACTGACCACATGATTCATTACAGTGAGCATAATCAGACCTGTTTAATTGGATTTAGCACAGTACAGTTTGTAAAACACTGAAAAAAAATCATTATAGTTGTAAATGTATTATTATTATTATTATTATTATTATTATTATCATTATTATTATGCTGCACTACATGTTCTATTTTGTCTGTTCCAACTTAAATGTTAGAAAACTAAATATTGTGATTCGTGTATTGTGAAAATATCTCGAAGTATCATGATGCAATATTTTTGTCATATCGCCCACCTCTACCCGGTGCTACATTTCCTGTGTAACAGCTAAACAAAAGAATTACTTTGTTCAAGACATTTTTTTAACTGTGTCCCTGCTTTATTTCCTCATCATACGTTATCACTTTCATAGCCTACAGGACAATCCACAACTTAATTTAGGGCCAGTTCATTTTCTCTTTATTTGAAATGGACTAATTTATAGGCCTGTAGCTTTAATCGCCTTTCATCTCCTCTGCCTTACCCTGAATGTGGTCCAGAAATAGAGCCGAATAATTAAGACTGTAACTCTGTTTTTGCTGTGTTAGTGCCTTGTAACTGTCAGACGCTCAGTGAAGTCGTCCCTGTTACTAATGAGGTTTTGCTGCCAGAGGGAGCAGAAGAGTACACGAGTGAGCACATTCACTCTCTCTTTTACAGTGTCTCAGTGGCATAGATGAGATTATTCATTTGGCTTTTTGAATTATCAGCCCTCAAGGCTGTCACGAGAAAGCTTTTTGCTGAAAAAGTAATCTACCTGACATCCTGCTAAAGTTTTAAGAGTGAAATAAGTGGCTTTGTGGCATTTTGAGTTGATCTGGGCCGTAAAAGTTGCACCTATAAAAGGAGAAAGATTCACGGGGCCAGATGTGATCTTGGGGACAACCATGTGAAATTTTATGGCTAAATGTGTGTGTGAATTTTTAAACACCTCAGTGTCACTGCTGGACTGAGAATAGTCCACCAACCAAAAATATCCAGGCAACAGCGTCCTGTGGTCAGCGTCCTGTGACCACTGATGAAGGACTAGAGGATGACCAACACAAACTGTGCAGCAGCAGATGAGCTATCGTCTCTGACTTTACATCTACAAGGTGGACTGACAAGGTAGGAGTGTCTAATAGAGTGGACAGTGAGTGGACACTGTCTTTAAAAACTCCAGCAGCACTGCTGTGTCTGATCCACTTGTTCCAGCACAACACACACTAACACACCACCACCACGTCAGCGTTACTGCAGTGCTGAGAATGATCCACCACCCAAATAGTACCTGCTCTGTGAGGGTCCATGGGGGTCCTGACCACTGAAGAACAGGGTAAAAGGGGGCTAACAAAGTATGCAGAGAAACAGATGGACTACAGTCTGTAACTGTAGAACTACAAAGTGCACCTATATAGTAAGTGGAGCTGATAAAATGGACAATGAGCGTAGAAACAAGGAGGTTATAATGTTAAGCCTGATCAGTGTATACGTAAAGGTTCGTTTTTGTGATGTCACAAAAACAGTGAATTCAAAACGAGCTGTTTTTGAAGCTTCATTTCCACATATGGACTTACCGACCTGAGAGCGGGGTCCTTTTTGATTCTTTAATAAAATTTGCATACTTTATTTACTTTTTCATAATGTGGGCTCTTTAATGAGTCTTAATGGTAAGCAAATTAGTCAGGTCAGGTACTGATCTTGGGCATTTAGTTCTGGATCTGCAGCTCATCCCAAAGGTATCGGAGCTCCATCACTCCAGAGGACGCAGAACCCAAAAAGTAACACCAGAGACATTTTTAATGAAAAATGCATTTTACCGAATGGCTGCTACAGATCATCAAACCACATGTTGTCAATCATGGAATATCCACTAAAATATGGAATTTAATCCATTTGTATTCTATTCTTTCACAATGACCTCAGATAAATGTCGGTCACACCAGTGACTTCAGCTAAAAGCTCCATATGAAATCATGAGCTAAATGAGAAAATCTCTGATAACTGAAAGACTCAGTGGACTCACCATGTGCTTTTCTTCATAGATCCTCAGAAAATAGGTGAAAGAAGTCGAGTGATGTCATCAGTGTGATTTTTATTACAAAATAAGAGATTTTTGTTATGCGCTAACACCAGTGATACGACTCCTGGGGAACTTTCATTATATATTTTATAATATTTATTTCCCATTTGTTTTCTTTATTCATTTAAATCATATATTTCATAGTCATGTATAGATTATTGTAGTTAAAATAGCAAAAAATGTGTTTTTTGTCCTCACCGTTTACACGTGACTGTGGGGACGAGCTCTTCTGTGGTGTTTGGAATTCTATATGATTGATTTAAAAACCAATATTGCTAAATTGAGGCTCAAGAAGGTGTAACCGTTAAAATAACATATTGTTTTATTTAAAAATATAAATAAATTGTAACCCTAGCATGTTTTTTAAGTGTAATACATCTGTAAACGCTAGGGACACTTCTGGACGTTTCTGTGGAATGAACCAATTAGACAGACTGTCTGGATGCTTTTGAACATGCAGTGTATAATGGGGAGAGTCTTCAAGCACAAAATGAGGAAATGAGTGGTGTACAAGTCGTAGTTAATCACATATTTCAGAATTTTCCCTTTGTGTAGACAGTTTCCAGCGCTACTCCGTTTTTCCCCTTCCCACTTCATCTTTCTTTCAAGAAGCTCAATACTGTCTGGCCTTGCAGTCACAGCTAGCAGTCTAGACTTAGCCGCTGAGCGCTGACATCAGAGCTTATTTAAAGTCAGAACGTAGCAGCAGCCCATGAATAAACAACTACAATTTTAAAATTTCAGCGCAGGTACTTTATTTAGCACCGTGAAGACAACCAGGTCACCAACTCATCGCTCAAGAACAAAAGCAGCTGGGTAAATCTGAACAGCCCGAATACAGTAGGCCTCGGCTAATGAAATGCTTCATGGATGGATTATGAGAATGGAAACAGGTGTATTATAGCAAGAAAACTCTAAAATGTTTGATGCAGATGGGTTTTAAGGCCATGATTGGGAAATACTGATGTAGGGTCCATTTCACAAAGCAAAAATTTCTTGGTTAGTCCAAACGTTTAGCCTGTCCAACAGGATACGAGGCCACTCTTTTGGCCTAAAGAGACACTTTGGCTAAATATCTTTTGATACGTTTTGTCATATTAGGTAGTAGAATTCACAATTTCACAATTTTCATGTTCTCATTCATACAAAATCCAGCATGCACTCCACATACACTGATCAGCCATAACATTAAAACCACCTCCTTGTTTCTACACTCATCCATTTTATCTGCCCCACTTACCATATAGGAGCACTGTATAGTTCTACAGTTACAGACAGTTTCTCTGCATACTTACTTAGCCCCCTTTCACCCTGTTCTTTAATAGTTAGGAAACCCCACAGGACCACCACAGAGCAGGTGTTATCTGGGTCGGAAGACGCGTGTAGGTGCGCTGGAGGATAATATATAAAATGGCTATATTGGTGTTGTTGACGTTGCGACCCCTGCTTCCTATCACCGTCACTGGAAAAAGAGTCTGTGAACGTTTCTCTGCAATGAACCATTTCACACCAAACCAATCTGATTTACTTAGTTTAGATCTCACTGACTCATACAGAAATTTTGAAAAATCAGTGGAATTCCCCTTTAAAGTAGCAGCTCACTGGAAAATCCTCCTAGGCTGAAATCCCCTCCTGTCTGACTGTTGCTGCTTGCAATAATCAGTTCGTCCGCTAGGTGGCACTGTTATCCGCAGAGACCAATCGGGACACTTTCAGCCAATTTTAGAGCAGATATTTTTATTTATTTATTTATTTTTATGCTCTTATTGTACATTTTTATAATTTTCTCATCACTGCCTGAAGCGATTTCCTCTTCTCAGGAAGGGTTTCTCTCATTCTCCACGTGCTGTCTTTACTTTTCACGGGTCTCGTTCGAATTTTCCGTTCCACCTTAAATGGTGCAGCGGTTACGTTCTGGCGCCTGTGCGCCTGTCCATGCTCCTGAATGGAACTGCCTCGTTCTTTAAGGCGGAACGGAACACTGGGATAAGAACCTGGCGAATTTCGGCTTAATTAAAGGGGAACGCCACCGATTTTCCAAATTTGATGTGAAATGCTTCATTTGCAGAGAAACGTACAGACCCTTTGTACAGTGGTGGTGATAGGAACCAAGCGTCACAATGTCTACAACATAAAA